TCCAGGATCTCCATACGGTGAGCTCAACTTCTCATTCTGGTTTTATCATCTACTGGAATCATTGTACAGACAGTTCTTCCCTTATGATCTATAAGATAATAATCTATAAAAATCTTCTGAATTTCCCAACTAGTTCCTTGTCTATGTTCATTTGGAACTAGATTTGAGTACCTGAATTTGCCCTTCTCTGCCTTATGTTAGTCATAGGGCTACATAAATTAACCATCTGGCTTGATGATAAATTTTAAAAGTGAAGAAAGTGTCCTCTTTGTTATACAGATCATTATTCCATAGAAATGGAATCTATTTTCTGTAACTACAACCTTTTTTATAGAAAATAGATTAGTTTTGAAATATAAGTAATATTTAGCAAAACTAAAAAGTTTAATGTACCATTGAGGAATAAATTCTTAGTGATGAAGAAAAATCTAAAACTATTTGTTTTCCTTTCAGACAGCATTTTCCTTTCAAATAAAAGGGATTTTAGAATGGTTTCTGCTAATATTTATTTCAATAAAAGTAGAGAAAAATCATATATATTTTAGTTCAATTTATTTCTTTAAAAGCCAATGTCTCTATTTAGATAAATATTTAGTTCAGGTCTATACAGGGCTCAGAGTCATCTAATTGTAGTTAAACAAACAATAGATTGAATTACCAATTGATCAATTCAATTAGGCCATTAAGCAAACTAAAATAAGAATTCCATTGTATAGGCCAGTAATTGTAGTCAATCTAGTGCCCAAAGTAGATTTATAATTCTGCAATTCAATCTCCTGCTTGGCATTCAGACATGATGTGACATGAACAAAGTGAACTTGACAACCACAATGGCTGCTTCCATTCATCACATGTTCGCCATTACACACAGTCAGATATTGTAAAACATCTCAACTCTGACTTAGTGTTTTATTATTGATATTTTAAAAAATGCTTTAGAACAATGTATTACTGATTCTGTTACACATGTATAATTTCCAAAAGCCAAAATTTAATTTGTCTTAAAACATTAACCAACAAATGAAACTAGGTACTAATTTTCATACCTTTAATGACATAATTATTTTAATCTGGAAGAGATAAAACTTTATGGGAAAATATCTTCTAAAAAAATCTGTTTTAAACACAATAACACTACTCTCCTACTTCCGGTCTCAATGAAAAGTTCTACTAACCAGCTTTTATCAGAGCCTGTATTCTATCCCCTCACCCATAAGCCGCTTGTGATGTGTTTCCAGGACCAAATCAAACATCATTTCTGGATCTTTCCATCTCATCCTCCTTACCATTTAATTCCCTTCCTTCTAGCTTCTTCCCCTTTATTGCTTCCTGCCTATGAGCCAGTCAGAAGGTAAACAGTTCACCTGAAAAGGTTTTGATCTCTATTTTCTTTATGCTTTGTGCATGGTGCTCTTTTTCCATGGTGTATACTTCTCTTTACCTAGCTAGTACTTGTTGATATGGCTCTTTTGAGGGTAGTGGTGGCTCTGTGTTTTCTTCTTTCACAACACAGCCTACTTGCTTTGTCTATTTCCCCCATTGGACTATAAGCTTTTGTAGGGCATGGTATTCCAACATTTCATTCCTAGCAACCAGCAGGATGCCAGGTATATAAGATTCATTCAAAAGTTAATTGAATAAAGTATTTATTTAATGAATAAAGTGAAACTGGTTGCTGAAAGATAGCACTTTAAAACTACTGTTTGTTAAACTCTGAATTTAATAGACCTCAGTTACTTTGTGATAAAAGACACCTTCTATATAAAAGAGGCAACCTGAAATAAGTTTCACACAGACTTGAGTAAGTATATTAAATTAAATATTATTTAGAATTATATAACTATAACCACATACACATAAATTCAAACACTTCTTATGAACTATGGTAAAAATGAATGTTGGGGAAAGTTGCCAAATTTCTCATTAACAGCTATGTCTCAAACTAAAGCAAGATATAACACTACTTCATCAGTCAACATGGTAATTTAGTGACTCCAGAAAAAAAACTTTTCAAAAGTTCTAACCATTCTGGTACCATGTTTAATAGTCCTAAGTCATGCTAATATGATGTTTGTATAAGTGCGTGTATGTATTAACATGTATACACACATATACACACATATGTATTATATCTGTAATTTATTACTGCCTCACATCGGTACTTAGACAGAGTGGAAATTGATTCAGAAAGGATTAGCATGATTTTTAAAATGAGAGAACCCTAAGTGGCAACTAAGAGAAGCAAAGATTTGCCATTCATTCATTCACTCACTCATTCATGCTCTCAATCTCGTACTTATTGTGCATTTGTGAATTTGACCTCTACACCAACTTGTAAACTTGAGGATGTGTTAAACGCATTCTCCTTTAGCAAGTTCTTTATTTGACAGCTAGCCTACGAGACAGGCTTAGCCAAGTATAACAATAACTTGTGTGTGTGCACGCATGCACGTGCGCACACGTTCATGTACTATCTTAACTCATAATTTTTTCTAAAGTTTATATTTGAATTCATAGAATTTAGATAAAAATCTTCATTTGATGTGATGCATTTACAAAAATATCAGTCTCAATTCGGCTAAGAAATGCTCACACATCTCAAAAGTACAACATAGTCTCTATTTTAGGCAAATTAACAAAGCAAAATTTGGCTTTAAATAAATCTCCATGGTTTACAATGCAAATGGCTGTTGCAAGGCGAACAAAGAAAGGTAAATGGGGATTTATTATGTCTCTGTGTCTTTTAAAACTTTGCATTTCTAATTTAATATTTCATTAGTTCAACTTGATTCCTTAATACCACTGGAAAACAGACTTTCCTGTCATATTCAGATAAACATATTCTTGCCAATTTTCTATGCAGCTTACCTTGGCTTCCTATCTGGTATACTCAACAGATGCATTATTAATAATACGTGAATATAAATATTTAAAACTTTGTGTATGTAATGGATACATAAATAGATGCATGTATGTTTTGGGAATAAATGCTAGTTTTGCTTCTGTCATTGCCTAGCGGATGAAATGTAAGTGTTGCCAATGTTTATTGACACATTTAAGTCAGTATCCCTGTGACTAATGGAGTACAGAATATACAAAAGAGAGGTTTCAGAGATGTCCTCATTAAAGCACCTGGAAACTTCCAATTGAATTGCCAATTTGCTTTTAGAATTACAGGAATGCTACTCTCTGCATAGCTGAAGTACTTGTGATAACTATACACGGTTAACAGCATGGAGACGGAAGCCAACATCCATGCTTTGAGATGTAGTCAGTTCCACTTTCTCAAGTGTGTGCCTTTTTTGTGATTCTCAGAAGAGCATCTAAGTCAGTCTTACAAGTTTGGCTAAAAGAGAAACTAGGCATTACATGAGTATACTACAGTAGAGGTTATTGGAAGAGAAGAGATCTTAGGGAACATCCAATTCAACTCTGACTATTTAGAATCACAAAATGAGGCCAGTATCTTAGAGATTTGCCAGAGAAGAGAAAGTAAAATAAGAGTTGGAGAGAAATGACTTTTTTTTTTACCATCATATCAATCACACCCTATTATAATTACTTACACGTGTGCATCCACCCAGAACTCTAATGAACCAGGCTCTGGGACAGTTTTAGTCACTGCCATATTCCTAGTACTTAGCACCATGCTTCTCAGAAATAAGCGTGTGAATGGACAAGTAAACGATTGTTCAGTCTGGGCGCAGCGGCTCATGCCTGTAATCCCAGCAATTTGGGAGGCCTAGGCAGGCAGATTGTTGGAGCCCAGGAGTTTGAGACCAGCTTGGGCAACAGGGTGAAACCTCTTCTTCACAAAAAAATACAAAAAATTAGCCGGGTGTGGTGCCACGAATCTGTGGTCCCAGTTACTGAGACTGAGGTGGGAGGAGCACCTGAACCTGGGAAGTTGAGGCAGCAGTGAGCTGTGATCACACCACTGCATTCAGCCCGGGCAACAGAGTAAGACCCTGGTCTAAAATACATATATACATACATACATATATGATATCTATATATATATCATATATATGATATATGTCACATATAATATGTGATAATTATATATTATGTATCATGTATATATGATATATACTATAGGTATGACATATATCACATATATCACATATGATATATATCATATATTCAAAATTTTGTGTATGTAATAGATATGTAAATAGATGCATGTATGTGTATCTAGCTAGGAAATTTATTCTAGGGAATAAATGCTAGCTTTGCTTCTGTCATTGCCTGGTAGATGAAATGTAAGTGTTGCCAATGGTTATTGATACATCTAAGTCAGTATCCCTGTGACTAATGAAGTACAGAATATACAAAAGAGAATTCTTCACACTTTACCACATTTTCTGTCTGGCACTACAGTATGCTCAGAGGCTAAAAAGTAATGAAGATGTTGCCATTCATCTCTAGAGCTTATTTATTGGTAAACAAAACAGCCCTGTAAAATTAACAAAGTAGGTAAGATCAGCCTAATTTTAATATTGAACTATATATGATTAATATTGAACTATGTATAATATATATCCTATATGTATAGTTCAATATTAACTTAGGGAATGTTCTTAACGTTGCAAGTTTTCACCTTCCTCCTTTGAAATGAATAAAAACTACCTCTTAGACTGTCATCAGAGGAAAATGAAAAAATAAGTGAGAAATGCTTACCAGTGGGGCTTGCACAAAGAAACACTCACTAAATAGTCATAGAACAATTGAATGAATAAATGAGAGATACCTGTTTTTCCAGAAACTTCAAGATATGAAAAAAAAAAAAAAGAAAAAAAAAAAAAAAAAAAGAAAAGAAAGAACAGCTTTTGGCACAACCTCATTGAATGCTTTGGCAAGCAAGCAAGTAATGATAAAAAGCAAAACACAATGAACAATAGAGAACTTATGACCTTTACAAATATCTGTTAAAGAAAAAATTGTTTTTCAACTTACTGCAGAGAATATCGTTCTGAAGGCAACAAAGAGCATTGCAATACCTGATAAAATTCTGACTTCTGCTTCATTTCCTGTTCTTGAGCTGGCTGGATTTCGAGCTGAGCATCGGTAAATTCCAATGTCCCCTGGTTGGAGTCGGCTGATCTGCAGTGCTCCAGAGGGTAAGACCACCACTCGGGAGTCGCCTGGGATTGGAGTCAGGTCCTGTTGGTTCTTCTGCCAGTGGATTGTTGGCATGGGCTCCCCAGTGACTTCACACTTGAGTAGCACTGTGTCTCCCATGAAGGCTGTGACAGATTCTGTCTGAGAAAGGAACCGCAGTGGTCCTAGGAGAAAAACAAAGAAGGAAGAGTAAGTCTTCCAAAAAAGGCACAATAATCGCCAGTAAAAATAATTACACTTTGTATTCTTTATAGAAAATTATATTTTATAAGCTGTTTTCTCAAACATCATCTCATTTGCTCTTCACACTTTACCACATTTTCTGTCTGGCACTACAGTATGCTCAGAAGCTAAAAAGTAATGAAGACGTTGCCATTCATCTCTAGAAGCTTATTTATTGGTAAATAAAACAGTCCTGTAAAATAAACAAAGTAGATAAGAGCAGTCTAATTTTATAGATAAGGAAATTGAGGCTCAGAGAAGTGAAATTCCACATTCGAGTTCAGTTTCTAGATGACAGTCCTACAGAGAGAAACTACTTCTTCTGAATCCTGGTCCTATGGACAGAATTCCTGTTACCCTACTTTGGACAAAGGGTTATGAAGTCATGAAGATTCATGAAGGACTGGTCATATGGCATACCTACAGCAGCTTCAAGAAGGAGGGATGACAGGAACCACCAATTATAGTAACAAAGGACTGTCTTTTAGGGTTTACTGCGTACGGTAAATGTTCATCCACATTTGCCAGCTATGGCTGTGGTGTAGTGAAAAAGATTTAAAAGCTGGAATTAGAATAGCTTGTGTTTCTAGACTAGTTGAGCCACCTATTCTATATGAATACTCTGGAAACTTGTTTCTTTGGACCATGAAATGGGATAATATCTAATTCACATGGTCACTTCAATATTCATGTGAAATAACATGTGAAAATAATGCATTCATATGAATGAAGTAAATATAAGGAAAAAATAAAAGAAACTGGCCATTACGGAGTATAAGCCAAGTGAGAAATAAGCCTTCTCTGCCATGACATTGTACATGAGAGAGGTAGATGTTTTCACCTTGCCATCTTGCACTCCCTTTTATGTATAAGTGGTTATTTGTGATCCTAAATTTTGACCGTGAAATTCTTGTGTTTTTTAAATGATTACAAAGAAATCTATTGGTATCAATTATGCCATCATTGAAAGACCACTGGCAAGTTTATTTTTTAGAGAAAATTCAACTAAATTTTAATTATTATTAATGTTTGCTATTCATCCCAGTTAAATTCTGATATTTCTATATTCATTTGAGTCATTCCAGAATTGTTTTAATTGTATGGACATGTAACAATAAACTTTGATCCATTCATCAGTCTGGGGTTCATGGCAAGTTTTACTAATCATATTTTATGTTACTGTGATTTTTATTTTATAAATTCAAGTCAACATTCCCCAGGTCCAGGTTTAAATTTTGTCAAGAAAGCTTGATTGCCTCATTAATCTTTAGTAAACAAAATTCTACTATGTTCAGTTTTAATTACCCTTAGTTTGAATTTGCGTCTATTAATTTTCATGATCTTAATTTTCCTCACAACCTGATAAAAATTTTGCTGTGACCAAAAGAGTAAACATAAAATGACCTGAGTCAAATCATAATTTAATATGAGAGACAATAAGCAATGCTATAGAGATACTATTTCACTTTCCTTCCCTAAGTGAAGGTGAAATTTTACGTCTCTTTTAGGGATTAGAGTTTTTGGACCACAAAATAACTCAATCTATGAAATTTAAAGCTAGACCAAAATTATATGTGGGTTAGGTACAAGCTGCTGAAGGATATCGTTCATTATAGCTATATCCACAGAAATAGACCTGCAATTCTAGAGCTGCAATATTAAGATTGCTCTTTGTGAGAATTATTAATGCTATACCATGCAAAAACCTTAATATTGATGCAAATATTAATTTCTCCCTCACATGTATATTCTAAAATTACTCAGCTGATTCTTAAACTAAGGCTCTGAAATCTGGATCCACGGGGATACCTGAATAAACACTACAGTTTACCTACAGGGGGCGCCAGCCACTTGCCTAATTTTATTCTTTTTCAGTTAGAAGAACTAATCTGTGTCTGTGCTGCATCTACCACTGCGTGAAGAACAAAAGGAATTAGTTAACAGGTACCCAGGCTTACTGCTTAAAATCCAGTTTTCAGATTGTCTGCATTATATAGTCTTGTTAGTCTATTCCAAAGAAGTATGTTAATCTACTACAGACTGGCTCAGGTATGGATTTAAGGCATGTACTTAAACAGAGCACACACAAACCAAAGCTGCAATGAGTAGTGATAGATGTGAGGCTTATGTAGGACAATGAGTTTCAAACAAATTTTATTTTTATTTAATAGTTTTCTTCTTGGTTGTAATCCCTAGTATTTTATTTTGCAGTTAAGGAAATGTAGTCAGGAATAATTTTCCAATACACACAAGTTATGTATTTAATGCATGTAGGTGAGAATAAAATTTTAAGTTGATTTTAACAATCTGGACATTTATATATTCAGATTTATGGCTCTTTTGAAGTTACACACATTGGATAAATTTAAAGCATTTAAACCATTTATTCATGGTGGTTCACACCTGTAATCCCAGCATTTTGGGAGGCAAAAGCAGGAGAATCACTTGAACCCAGGAGTTTGAGACCAGCCTGGGCAACATGATGAAATGCTATCTCTACAAGCAATTTTTAAAAATTACCCAGGTGTAGTGGCACACACCTCTGGTTCCAGCTACTCAGGAGGCTGAGGTGGGAGGATCACTTGAGCCCAGAGGCAGAAGTTGCAGTAAAGCTAAGACTGTGCCACTGCACTGTAGCCTGGGCAAGAGAGTGAGAACCTGTCTCAAGAAATACTAAAATATAAAATAAAACATCTATTTTACAACCGAATGTCTATTGCATTCAAAAATGTATTTCCAAGTAGGTTTCAGAGCCTGGAATATGTAAAATGAAATAGTAATTCAAACCGATACTCAACAATTGGTTTCCTATGTAAACTTCATCTACCTGGAAGAATTTAATACAAAGGCTGGGATTGCATATTAATATAATTAGACTTAATAGAATTGGCTAATAGAATTGCGTGTACTCTGTGATGATTTCAGATCTTAACAAGCCAGGGTCAGAACTGCATCTTGTTTAAAAGTTAACAACGCAATGTTTGAAAATTTCACATAGTTGATTATTTGTCATAGTGAGAAATTACAAACATGATGCAGTCTTTTCTTTCTGTCTCTAAATGGGAAACTCTACACATTCAAAAGCAATTCTAAGCTTATAAGGCTCTATAAGGCTTGACTTAGCACTCCCAATATTGTGCTAAATATTAGCACTTACATCTCATGGTGGTGTAACAGTCTTAAAAGAAGAAGTTGTTACAGGCTATAGTACTAAGTTGTAACTTAGTACTATAGTTTCAAGGCACGTGTATGAATATCTAGTAATGGACAATAAACTCACTATAACTCATATGTATGAAATACTGTATTTTCATAAGTCATTTAATGTTCTCATGCAATACAAATGATTCCCAAGCTTCATCCAGAGAAAGATACAGGAATAATTTTGACTAGATCCTTGTGAAAAATAGTTACCTGCTCAACAACAGCCCATTCATGGAAAAAGCCTGGTGCAGACTCATTAGGCCACATCTGATCCATTGTAAACATAGCAGCAATGGTCTTCCTACCTCTATGTTTTTCTCACTCAAATGCATTCCAAACATAGTCAAAACATCAGTGCTCCTACATCACTAAAGTTTTTGCTTCACTCTGGAAATCCTGAAGTTCCCAAAATGTGCTGGTATTGTCTTTTGCCACAAAATCAGGCAAATGGTTTTTTGTTTAATATGTGCGCGTGTATCTAGCACAATGTGCCTTTCAGGCTCCTTTTCCACAACTTCTGCAAAACAATTCTCAGATCGATTGAACTTGGAGATGTCCTAAACATGGTTTCCTCTTGGCTGTATTTCTCATGGAACTTCCTCTAAAAAGGAACATCCTCTTTCCTAACATCTACCTATCAAATCTCTAGTCATGCTTTAGGCACTCAGTCAAAAATCTCTCCCTTTTTCCTAGTCTTAGTTACTGGAAATCATCACTCCACCTTTAAAATTTTTATAGTACTCACAATTTGCAGATACTATAAAAAGTTAAGTGTATAAATAAAAGCTTGAAAAGTATTTCTACATTTGTGTGGATGTTTTCTGTATTTTATTTCTGGGAAGTATATCAAATATTTACTGAAAGAAAAAAATATACAAATACTGGCTGAGGTGCTATGTGACTCTAAAGGTTTAAATGGAATATTGCAGACATACACATTTTGAAAGTTGGATTTGAGCTTTGGCTCTGTCACTTTCCAACATACTCTGTAGCAGTTTGGAATAATGAGATTACCTAGAATCACTTCTCTGCTTCATTATTTAACAAGCTAGATGACTTTGGGAACAGATTCAGTTTTATCATTTATGCCATTTTAAGCACCTTTATAAATGACCTTATTTAATCTTCGCAATGGCTCTTTAAGGAAGTATTATTATCTCCACTTTCTAGATGGAACTGGTACCAAACTATTTCAAATGTTTATATGGTTGTTATTTTTTCTTTTCTTTTTGTTTTTTGAGCATGAGTCTTACTCTGTTGCCCAGGATGGAGCGCGGTGGCACGATCTCAGCTCACAGAAACCTGTCTCTCGGTTCAAGCAATTCTCCTGCCTCAGTATCCCGAGTAGCTAGGACCACAGGTGCATGCCACCATGCCCAGCTAATTTTTGTATTTTCAGTAGAGGCAAGGTTTCACCATATTGGCCAGGCTGGTCTCAAACTCCTGACTTCAAATGATCCACCCACCTTGACATCCCAAAGTGCCAGGATCACAGGCGTGAGCCACTGTACTCAGCTCATGATCGTTATTTTTAAAGGTTTAGTACTGAATTATTATACTTCTTAAAATACCTTATTTCCCTGACATAAAACTATTTCAAAAAGATTTTCTTTTATATATCAATACTCTTTACTCCTCAACCCTCAAGTAGCAGTACTGTACTGAGTCCCCTTTTTTGTTTAGTAAGTACTTTCTGTCTTACGTTGAATTCCCATAGACAGATTCCAGCCTGAAGTAC